CCCCCTCCATATATATATATATATATTATAATTGTATTGTAAGCACATGGTGTTTGAATAGCTTCAGCCAGGGAATGACCGCTGCCAGTGGCAAGATTCCACAGATGGCCGCTGAATGTAAATACAGCAGGTAGTGGGCTGGTGCAATAGCAGGCTGGCTATTGCACCCACCCACTGCTTGCTGAGCCCTCCTCACAGCGTGGAGCAGAGAGCTAAGGGATACAACCAACTAACCGATGAGAATAGCTGACAACTATTCTCATTATTAAAGACTACCGATTAGTTGGCTGCAGCCCTATTTTTTTATATCAATCAATGGCTCCATATTGAAAAATCATTTGTATCACACCAGATATTATAATCTTTAGCCTATATGTCATCAGTAGATATGTTATGTACACTAATGCCTTCTGTATAGCATCTGTAATTTTAGCAGGTCTGGATAACCATCTACCTGTCCAACTAACCTGGTAAGGACTTTCCCACCCATATTTTTCTTGGACCTGTGCCTTTAGACAGTTGGCAGTTGTGTACTGGTCTGCAATATGGAAAAATATTGCATCTTGTTCTAGAAATGAACTTGTTGATTTTGCTGTCTGGCTGCTTTCTGGTTCAGTTCCCAGCCTTACATTGTGGATGGAGGGTTAACTAATAATGGACCTATAATACTAGAAAAAGAGTTCCCTCTGCAAATTTTTGTTGTTTATGGTAACGTATCTATCTATTCTATTTTAAGTATATAAGGGTCTGAAGATAATCAAATAAAGTGCATGCAGGGCAAAGTAACAGGTTCAATTTATTGCATAACTCTTCCGATAGCATATACTTCTTTCTCCCCATGGTCCTGTTCCACTGCTGAGAGCATTAGGATAGTTCTGTGTAAGTTACAAGTCGCCAGAGTCATGACTTAATGTGCCCATACACTGTTCGATTCTCATACGAGAATCACGGGAAATCCCGCGATCGTACGAGAATCGAGCAGTGTGAACGAAGACGTGCGACCGTTTCTACTGTACGGTCGCACGTCTTTTGTCTAAGAAGCACGCTAGAAAACCAGCCGAAAATCGTACGATTTTCGGCTGGTTTGAACGGTGCTCGGGAGACAAATGCCGAACGGGCCGGTGTGCGCACGCGCACACTGCACGTTCAGCATTGCGGCCATCGGAAGCCCGCCCCTCAGGGGGGCAGGCTTGCGATGATCGAGAGTACGATCTGCCTGTCCAAGATGGGCAGATCGTACGTTTTTTTAAATTACTTTACAACCATCGCAAGACTAAGGTTTTGCGATGGTTGTAAAGTGTATGGCCACCTTTACACAGGGCTATTGCCACCCTGTGACAGCACCAATTTATTCCAGCAGATCGTCTCCTGGAATTAATCATGTGCTTCTCCATACCCAGAAAACCAGAGTATTTCCTTGAACTTTTGGCACTAAACAGAACTGCAGGACAGTAAAGGAAAGAGGAGTACAGTGGGTATATAAAAGAATCAGTTTGTTGCTTTGCAGCCTGAAATGAAGACACACAGTTTTTGTTTTATCCAGCTGTAAAAGCCGGGGTGAAAAGAAACTATCGTCAAACAGCCTTTGGCATAAATTCGAAATGGACCAAAGAGGATTGGCAAAATGTAATAAAATAACAATGTATATATCGTATATATCGTATACACTCCAGATAAACCGACTAAATTCATAATATAACCAAACATCTTGTGCAACATGTTAAATCAAAACAATAGTTTGGAATTCAAAGATTTAATTGGGATGGCAACACATAAAAATATCACCACATGATGGTATTACAAATAATAAATAAATGTAAATATAGATTCTATAATAAACCTTGTAGCAAACTAACACATTCATTCAGGAAAAAAGAGAGACTAGCACTGACACCAGTGTGCATGATCCGTACAATAAGATATAATAGACCTTGTAATAATGAATCGCGGAACATTAAAAAGCTCACCAGCTACTCATAATTAAATAAAAGAACATGATATTATAATTATAATAAATACAATGATAAAAATCAATAATGGGTTGATAAACTATAGGATATAAATAAATATAAATAATAGGATTAAAGGTGGAAGGCAGGAAAGAAATATACCGTATATATAACAGTAATAATTAATACACGTAACTGGGTTGTAAAATTGGACTAGATGGCAGAAGCCAATTCCAACCCTTTATTTAATCCTGTTGGAAATAAACTATTTAAGGAATAAATCCAGAACGCCTCTCTACGGCATAATCTCTTAAATCTGTTACCCTCATCTAGATCAGTGGTAGTGAAGAGGTGGGGCTTTTTAGGTACCAACTGACAAAGACCAAAAATTACCACCTGATAAAACAAGAGTATTTTATCAAAATACTCTTTTGTTTTATCAGGTGGTAATTTTTGGTCTTTGTCAGTTGGTACCTAAAAAGCCCCACCTCTTCTCCTTATTTTTTGTCTTAATACACATTAGGGGTGTGGTACCTTTTATTCAGAACCTGGTCACGCTTATTTGACATACATAATCATGTAAAAACGTATAGTTAATTGCCACAAAATTTTTATGATTACATTTTGCCCATGAATCCTTAAATCTCATCCATCTATATCTCATTTTATATCACACTATTGGCCTGTGCAGCCCTGGTGCATTTTGAAAGTGACTTGTCTCTGGAAATTTTAGGGACATATCCAAGAGGGTAGACTTGCTGGGTAACTTTTGAAATATCACCAGTTCACAGGCTGACTAATCAGCTTTTGGTCTGTCTTCCACTAAGGCCAACCTTTGAACTGTGTGTTCTCTTTATTTTTATTATTACTGTGACCTCACCTCCATTACCACTCCAGTGTATAAAGTCCACTCTGAGGCAATGCACAGACTTTAGGTGCAAAGCACAGAGAACAGCTGCTTGTATAGCTGGGGGCTCAAAACAGACATGAAGGTGCTTCTGAGAATTGCAGTGCTTTCTATAGCACTAGGCATAGCTGTGAGCACAGAAGAAATGAATAATGCAGCCACTCAGATACCCCCTGAAGATGCCTCTCCTGACTGGGGGATTGGAGCCGTTCGGGGTGGATTTGAAGCGGTCAATGGTTATTTTGACTCTTTTCTGGAACTACTCGGTGGAAGAAATGGTGTGTGCCAATACAAGTGCCGATATGGTAAGTTTATATGGTGTCTTTTAATTCCTAGGAAAGTTTTCTTTTTTTTAATTTAACACACACACACACACACACGTGTTTACATTTCTAACTTGTTATAATGTGACCCTCATGGTTATGGTGAAATAAGGATTTCTTTAAAAGTGTTTATTCTTCCCACAACCTACAGATGTTTTATTGTTTCTTACAACTAAAAATTACTTTTTATATGTAAGCTACAATAGCATGCCACACACTAAAAGTAATGAGCAACATTGAAAAAAAAATGGGTCATGTCGGTTTTTGGCTGTGTTAAGGTGCTTACGATTATCGGACGAAACTTTTCGTCCGATGATCCAATAGTCGTACGATTTTCGTACGGCAGCCCCTTTATCGCAAGATTAGTTTAGCCGTAATGAAGGAAAAGCACCTGGACGAATTGCGGTAATTGATTTGCCGTATTTTCGTTAGCACAAGCGCAGTGTAGATCGTACGACTTTTGACGGACAGAAACGCCAGCAACCTTGCAAAAATCGTACGATCTAGCAAAGTTTTCAAACATGCTTGACCGTCAAAAGTCGTACGATTGTACAGTACTGTCGGTCGGACACTGAAATGCACACATACGATTATCGGCCGAAAAGTCGATCGCATACGAAAATCGTACGATTCCATCCAGGTGTATGGGCACCTTTATGGAGCATTAACAGCCCTTTCTAAACACACATGCAGCCTTAATACAACACATGTAATGAGTGTTTAATCAGGTACTACAAGACATGACTTTAAGTGGCCTATTGGCTGTAGTCCACGCTGCAAGACAAGTTGCAATACAACTGATTAACATGATTAGAAAATGGCTTGCTCAATACAACATGTTTGTTGATGTTTAAGGGCCCATTCACTCCACATCCAGATCATGTCCAGACCAGACCAGATTGTTGCCAGACCCAAGATGCATCCAAATGTATGCCTATGCTATTTCTGGCCCCTGTTCAAACCAGCGCAGTCCGTTCCAGGCCAGACTAGACAAATACTGCAAGTCTCATTTTGTCTGGTCTGGAACGCATGGAAACACATAAAAATGCATACAAACGCACTGGAATGCACCTAAAAAGCCCATTTTAAGCTAAAAAAAAAAAACAGCTCCGGAATGCGGCAAAACGCAATGCACTGTGTTCCAGATCTGGTCCGGAAAATGGCGTGAACCTGTAAATAAATGCAGCATATTGATAAAACCAGAAACATATAAATGCTAATAAATTGATAAAACCAAAAACACATAAATGCACATATTTGAATATACCTGTATAATATATCTACAGCACAACTACATAATTGGCTTAATCCACACAGAAGGATATATAGGATTTATTTAGGTTTGACTGTAGCATATGTAGCACATAGATTAACGACTTCTGTAGAGAAGCAAATGCAATGTGCTTTCAGGTGTATAAAGAGTGCATTTAAAAAGGAACTTCATTCTATTCCCCACCCCCACATGTGTATTATTTCCATCATACCTTTTGGCTAGTGTTATGTACAATTCACATACTCACCCACCCAACGAGTCCAGCGTTGTCCCTGTCCAGGCAACCGACTCCGATGATGTCCTTTTGGCCTCATTTGTTCTGCTTTGGCTGCATTTGTTCTGCTTTGGTCAGCATGTGCTATTGAGGTGCATTTGACCTTAAAATTTAATCAATTTGTTCGTTCAATGCATTCAAATGGAAAAAAAATTGTTTGATTTGCAGGTCAAAAGCAGTCTTTTCTTGTCAAACGTCTGCATTGGACCAGACTGGCCAGCTACATAAGCCCTATAGCCGCTTTTGCATTCCCACTGACGTGTATGGTGGCAGCACACTTTTCATACATGTCCCTTGAAAGCAGACTTCCAGTATCTGGAATATACTCCCGGTACATGACTCCAGTGATATAGAGATTTATTATTGAATCCATTGTAATGTACAGGTTTTGAACCACGGGTTGTGGGGATGTTTTGGAAAACATTTTAAATATGTTTTCTTTTAACATGATTTACAATTATTTCTTATCTGTAGGTAAAGCTCCACTTCCCAGACCAGACTACAAATCTCCAGAACCCAATGGCTGTAGTTCCTATTTCCTGGGTCTCAAGGTACCAGAAAGTGTATGTACAGCTAACATCTACTGCAATCCATACTTACTAACATTACTCAAACAGGTTTCTCATGATCATGAGAGGAGAAAATCATTTATAAAGTCACTTAATATAAACCCCATACTGCACACCTGGATGATGTACAGATAAAATATCTAGGACTCTCAGCTATAAAAAGCAAAACCACCTACAGTAAACAGATGGCAATGCAGAACATTTCATTACTTATTTGTTGCACACTAGATGTGATAAACTGGAGGTAAAGAAAAGTACTGCTTTGTTCTAACCAATCGGGTAGACTCAATTTTTCTTAGAAAGTGGAACTTTAGCCCAAACATTTTTTTTCCTTTGTCAGGATTTTATTGCTACCTGTGTATCCTTTGGGGACATTTCCCCCTCACTTACAGTCCTGATGGGGGTGTTTACCAAGAAATGTCTTTCACACAGCAGTAAATACACCTTTCTTACTGTAATGGGGAAGGATTAGAACCACTTTCAGCAGGAGGGTTTCTGTCATAGCAGCTCATGTAGCTGCTATGGTGGCCTTAGGAGGCGAGGGCCCAGGGTCTTCAAGTTGGCAGTGCTCTCTGGCAGGGCCATGCAAATCTTATTAATAAAGGGACAGAATACGAATCATTTGTCAGGTAAGACAGTTCATGTATATATATATAATAGGAAACTATTGGGCCAGATTCACACCTTTGTAGTTATGTCATGTCTTGATAGGCGTTGCACTTTAGTTTATGTAACAGGAATGGCCTTTAAATATAACTACATACCTGCACCTTCACATATATACAGTATGTATTGTGCTGCATTGGGAATGTGTGTTGGGGTACCTTTCAAAATGAATTGCACCTCGATTCATGAGTTAGTGTGTTGAGGTAATGTGGGGTAAAACACATATTTTAATGCAATGCAAAAATGTGGATCTAGGCCTAAGTATCTACTTGTACATTAACTTCCCTATAGATGTAACACAAGTTCTGCATACACATACTGTAAAATATAGACATGCAAGGGCTTGTATAAGCATTTTTGTGGTTTTCATTTAAAGTCCAGTTGAAGTTTCTCACCCTTTTATAGTCCTCTGCCACCATTTGTTATTATTTTCAACTTCAGTTAAAATACCATTCTCTCCATATTTAAATACCATTCTCTCCCAGTGAATATGTGCTTACTGCACTCACACTCCAGTGCTCTGTGCTGGCACATCCCTCACCTCTAAAGGTGCCCACACACCTTGCGATAATCGCACGATAATTGCGGAATATCCCGCTATCGTACGATTATCGCAAGGTGTGTGGAAGGCGTGCGACTTCTGCTACTGTAAGGTCGCACGACTTTTATCTTAGGAACATGTTCGAAAACCCGCCGAGAATCGTACGATTGTCACGGGTGTGTGGCACGTAAGATAAATGCCGCACGGGCCGGTGTGCGCAAGCGCACACTGCCCGTTCAGCATTGTGGTCATCGGAAGCCTGCTCCTCAGCAGGGCGGGCTTGTGATCATCGAAAGTACGATCTGCCTGTCCAAGATAGGCAGATCGTACGTTTTTTAAAATTACCTTTCAACCATTGCTAAAAAAAAAAATACAATCCCCTTTAAACAAGAAATCCCTAAAAGTGGAGATGGTCTGATAAATGGATCACAATGCGTAATATAATATAACAAAGTTTAATGATACTAATATATATATAAAGACACCTATAACAAGACATTTAAAACCAATTAAAAAGCTTCCCTAGAATCACCTGAATGTAAAGATACGGGTATTGAACATTTGAATCTCCTATGGGGTAGTGGGGGGGGGGGCCCCCGCACAAACGCACGCATATTACAAGTGATCGGGCGTCTCTACAGACGTCTGAACGCTTGTATGTAAACAGCCATCGCTTGTATGTAAACAGCCAGACGGAAGGACCGTGCCAGCATGAATTCAGAGATGATTTGAGGCTCTACAGCTGAGTGATACACAAATAAGATACATTTGTGTTAATAGTTCAGGTACTTTAATTAATTTCTAAGATTTAACTCATGAGTTTAGCATCACTTTAAGCTTTGAAAGGAAAGAGAGAAGCTGATTGGTTGCCAGTCGCAAATGCTCCAAATTCTGTCTGCTTCAGTTTTGATACATTTTCCTCCCAATGTACCACTAGTTATACATTACTATATTATTTTCCTAAGCTGAGAGGCAAATGGATATATGTTGTATGAAGAGACAGAGAAAATAAGATATTGGCTTAAGACAGATCATCTGCCTGCTTACACCACTTTGTGATATATTCCAATGTTTTGCTTGGCGTGCTGTATCTGGAATGTCTGGCTAAAACAAATAGGTGTTCGGTGCTCTGAGGAGTTTACATTGACCTGGAGAACAGGTCACAGTGTCTGCCTCTGGCTGGAAGTTTGCCATTTGTTTACAATGTAGATTCACCCTAAGCTGGCCATATACTTGATTTTCGGTGTGAAATCACTTCTTTTTTTTTTGACCACCTGATAATGCCATCAGACACTTGATGAATGTTGAATAAAATTTTGTTTTATTTTAACATTTCATTTTGGAATGAATGGAGTTTGCAGAATGAAAACCACATTCACTGTTAAAATTGTGTGTGTTTGAGGAAAAATTGCCATCCTGGTCCTTTGAGTTTTGTCATCGTTACGGTCAAAATCTAATAGAATAGAAAGTCAAACTAAAAAGCTTTCTTACAAAAGTTTGTTCGGAAGTCTACTAGTGTATGGTCAGCTGTACAAGTATACATTATATTGCCAAAAGTATTGGGACGCTTGCCTTTACAAGCTCATGAACTTGAATGGCATCCCGGTCTTAGTCCGTAGGGTTCAATATTGAGTTAGGCCCACCCTTTGCAGCTATAACAGCTTCAACTCTTCTGGGAAGGCATCCACAAGGTTTAGGAGTGTGTCTATGGGAATGTTTGACCATTCTTCCAGAAGCGCATTTGTGAGGTCAGATACTGATGTTGCACGAGAAGGCCGGGCTCACAGTTTCCGCTCTAATTCATTCCAAAGGTGTTCTATCGGGTTGAGGTCAGGACTCTGTGCAGGACAGTCATGTTCCTCCACCCCAAACTCGCTCATCCATGTCTTTATGGTACTTGTTTTGTGCACTGGTGCGCAGTCATGTTGGAACAGGAAGGGGCCATCCCCAAACTGTTCCCACAAAGTTGGGAGCATGAAATTGTCCAAATTGTTTAGGTATGCTGATGCCTTAAGAGTTCCCTTCACTGGAACTAGGGGGCCAAACCCAAGCCCTGAAAAACCAGCCCACACCATAATCCCCGCTACACCAAACTTTACACTTGGCACAATGCAGTCAGGCAAGCACCGTTCTCCTGGCAACCGCCAAACCCAGACACATCCATCGGATTGCCAGACAGAGAAGCGTGATTCGTCACTCCAGAGAACACGTCTCCACTTCTCTAAAGTCCAGTGGCGGCGTGCTTTACACCACTGCATCTGACGCTTTGCATTGCACTTGGCAACCTATCATGGTGCCACGTTTAAATTCACTGAGCCCCTGAGAGCGACCCATTCTTTCACAAGTGTTTGTAGAAGCATCTGCATGCCTAGGGGCTTGGTTTTATACACCTGTAGGCCATGGAGGTGATTGGAACACTTGAATCCAATGATTTGGAGGGGTGTCCCAATACTTTTGGTAATATAATAAATATATATATATATATATTAACATACTTTTACAACTAAACTTTCTCTTTTTATTGTACGTTCGTTCACACCAGACTGCATGTCAAAACTGAGCCTAAAACGTGGGCTGATTGTATAGTGCCGGTGAGGGGCATTTTATTGAGTTGCTACAACACAAGGCACTGTTTACCTTTTGTTTTGACTTTATTGAAATGTAATAAACTGATATTTAATTTATTTATTTAACTAGCGGTGCCATGAGGTGAGGTGTGATGTGTTGCAAAAAATGTATCAAGTCTGCATTTTTATAAAACGCACTGCAACCCACCTCAAGGCAGTGTTGTAGTGTGAACAGGGCACCCAGAAAACAATTGTTTTCTATGTAGCCTTGCATTGAGCCTACGTTGTTCTATGCACATCAATGCAGCTCAACTGTAGTGGTGTGATTGAGCCCTGATGGTGGTAAAGCTTGATGCTTTTGTGTGACAATTTAGGATTGTCACAGATCTCATAGTAAAATTCTACTTTCCATAATTGATTTAATACTGGATGCACTTTGTGCTGTGTTAGCAAATGGATGCCTAGTGTCCTTGGTTGTTAGGATGCAGGCGGACATGTGCAGCAGGATGGAAGATGCTGATTTTTTAGATCACCTGTCAGTCAAAAACATGCCATTCTTGGTACCCCTACGCCTTTGTAACATATAGCTGCGGGTCAGGGAATGCGCCTCCCCAAAACCGATTGGGTTGGAAGGAGGGGGTGGAGGTCAGAGTTTTGATAAATTGGCTTTGGTTTGCACCAAGCCCAACCTCATCATTACTCTTTACCCAGAGCAGAGTAGGCTTAGTTGTACCATACCCCTCCCACTGTTGTGCAGTTTGGCAACACCTACCATTCAGCACGGTGCACTGTAAGTGCTGTGCTTAGCCCTGCTCTGCCCCCCCCCCCAGTCTGCCCCCCTTTCTTACCTGCATTTGGCATATCTCAAGCACGTTTTGCATGTATGGGAATGCAAAAACCAACTGAAGTGAACAAATGCCATCAAAACACTGACAACAACTAGCAGCATGTGTGGGTTGATGTAGCATAATTTACTTACCTATACAATGCTGTTCTAATTTTACATCTGTATATGGACAACTACTAACAGGATGTTGGGAAGATGTAAGCCTAATTTACTTCCATGTACAGAAAATGACTAGGAGTATACCTCCCAACTAATTGAGATGAGAAAGAGGGACATCTTCCAGCACATTGAGGGTAATTTATCAAAACTGGAGCAGACAGAATCTGGAGCAGTTGCCCATAGTAACCAATCAGCTTCTCTCTTCAGTTTGTTC